CTAAACCAAGACTAAACCAGAACTGAACCAGGTCTAAACCAGGTCTAACCAGGACTTCACTAACTAAACACAAAACTCGAAACGAAAAAAAAAAAACATTTTGAAAACTGAAAAAACACATTTTTATGTTTATTCATTTTGTTTTTTGGAGACAAATAATGAAGAAAATCGTTGTTTTTTCATTTTCTTATTTTTGGTTTTATTTTGAAAAACAAAAGAACGAACGACACACGGATTTTGGCGATATATCGACACAGTGGCCCACGATATCGATACTGTATCAGCACATGAATCAATACGATATATTTCGATATTTCTGCAAAGTCCCAGAATTTTATACACAGAAGTACACAGTACACAGAAGTACTACACAGAAGTACACAGAAGTACACAGAAGTACACAGAAGTACACAGAAGTACACAGAAGTACACAGTACACAGAAGTACACAGAACACAGAAGTACACAGAAGTACACAGAACTACACAGAAGTACACAGAAGTACACAGAACTACACAGAAGTACACAGAACTACACAGAAGTACACAGAAGTACGCAGTAGTACGCAATAGTACGCAGTAGTACGCAGAAGTATGCAGTAGTACACAGAAGTGCACAGTACACAGAAGTACGCAGTAGTACACAGTAGTACACAGAAGTACACAGAAGTACGCAGTAATATGCAGTAATACGCAGTAGTACGCAGTAAGTACGCCGTAGTACGCCGTAGTACGCCGTAGTACTCAGTAGTACTCAGTAGTACTCAGTAGTACTCAGTAGTACGCAGTAGTACGCAGTAGTACGCAGCAGTACGCAGCAGTACGCAGTAGTAGGTGTGTACTGTACGTGTGTGTGAGGTCTGGTCTGGGGTTGGTATTTGAGTCTCATGTTGGACTCAGGTTTATTCCTGGAACAAACTTCACCTCCAAACCCCCACAGCTCCAGGTCCTGACCCGGATCCTAACCAGGTCTGAGAGGGTCCAGGTACACACACACACACACACACACACACACACACACACACACACACACACACACACACACACACACACAGACACACACACACACCACACACACACACACACACAACACACACACACACACACACACACACACACACACACACACACAACACACACACACAACACACACACACACACACACACACACACACACACACACACACACACACACACACACACACACACACACACACACACACACACACACAGACACACACACACACACACACACACACACACACACACACAGACACACACACACACACACACACACACACACACACACACACACACACACACACACACACACACACACAACAACACACAACACACACACACACACACACACAGACACACACACACACACACACACACACACACACACACACACACACACACACACACACAGACACACACACACACACACACAGACACACACACACACACACACACACACACACACACACACACACACACACAGACACACACGACGCTTCCTGAGGCTATTTCCTGTGATTATCCTCCAGAACAAACATGACACAAACACTACACAGTATTATACAGGTACTACACAGTACTACACAGGTATTACACAGGTACTACACAGTACTTCACAGAGGACGTGTCAGTGTAAAGTACTGTGAATACTGCAGTAGTACAGAGTACAGTCTCTCTCTCGTCTCATCTGACGACGTCACAGCTCAAGTTTGTTTGTTTCTAAAATCTCATCATGCACCAGGACACTGCACTTTAACCCCCCGCACTTTAACACTTTAACCCCCCGCACTTTAACACTTTAACCCCCCGCACTTTAACACTTTAACCTTTAACCCCCGCACTTTAACACTTTAACCCCCCGCACTTTAACACTTTAACCTTTTAACCTCCCCGCACTTTAACACTTTAACCCCCGCACTTTAACACTTTAACCCCCCGCACTTTAACACTTTTAACCCCCGCACTTTATCCCGCACTTTAACACTTTAACCCCTTTAACGCACTTTAACACTTTAACCCCCCGCACTTTAACACTTTAACCCCCCGCACTTTAACACTTTAACCCCCGCACTTTAACACTTTAACTTTAACCCCCCGCACTTTAACACTTTAACCCCCCGCGCACTTTAACACTTTAACCCCCCGCACTTTAACACTTTAACCCCCCCGCACTTTAACACTTTAACCCCCCGCACTTTAACACTTTAACCCCCCCCGCACTTTAACACTTTAACACTTTAACCCCGCACTTTAACCCCCCGCACTTTAACACTTTAACCCCCCGCACTTTAACACTTTAACTCCCCGCACTTTAACCTCCCGCACTTTAACACTTTAACCCCACTTTAACCCCCGCACTTTAACACTTTAACCCCCGCACTTTAACACTTTAACCCCCCGCACTTTAACCCCCCCGCACTTTAACCTTTAACCACTTTAACACCCCCCGCACTTTAACCACTTTACTTTAACCCCCCGCACTTTAACCTTTAACCCCCGCACTTTAACCCCCCTTTAACCCCCGCACTTTAACCTTTAACCCCCGCACTTTAACCCCCCGCACTTTAACCCCCCGCACTTTAACCCCCCGCACTTTAACCCCGCACTTTAACCCCCCGCACTTTAACCCCCCCGCACTTTAACCCCCCGCACTTTAACTTTAACCCCCTTGCAAGAGTACTGTACTGCCTGCAGTAAACTGCAGTACTGTAAATACTGCAGTATAAGTACTGTAACTGCTGTAAATACTGCAGTATAAGTACTGCAGTACTGTAAATACTGCAGTATAAGTACTGTAGTACTGTAAATACTGCAGTATAAGTACTGTAGTACTGCTTTCCTCAGAGACAGTCCAAAGTTCGACCTCAGGACTCACAGCAAACACACAACTGATATACAAATACAACAGTACACAAGAGTACACAAGAGTACACAACAGTACACAAGAGTACACAAGAGTAGACCAGAGCGGGGGATATAATAAGTATGAAGTACAATGTGTAGTAAGTACACACAACTGATAAAACACAACAACAAGAACAACAAGAAAACAACTATACAAACCACAGCAGAAAACTGACACATGAAGTACACACAGTACTAATGCAGTAGTATCCACACAGACAGTACTACAACACTACTGCATGTACTACAACACTACTGCATGTACTACAACACTACTGCATGTACTACAACACTACTGCATGTACTACAACACTACTGCACTACTACTGCACACACTACTGCACTACGTACTACAGCACTACTACTACTGCATGTACTGTACTACTGTGTACTGTACTGCTTACTGTACTGTACTGTACTACTGTTACTGTACTGTGTACTGTACTGTGTACTGTAATACTCTGTGTACTGTGATACTGTAGTACTGTAGTACTTGTGCAGACTGTGGACCTCTGACTCTCCACACCCTGTGATTGTGATACTGTAATATTCTGTGTACTTGTACTACAACAGTACTGCGTGTACTGTTGTACTGCGCGTAGTACTGCATGTAGTACTATTGTACTGCATGTACTGTTATACTGCGTGTACTGTAGTACTGTAATACTGTAGTACTGCGTGTAGTACTGCGTGTAGAACAGTGTATAGTACTGTAGTAGTGTAGTACTGTAGTACTGTAGTAGTGTAGTACTGTAGTACTGTAGTAGTGTTGTACTGTAGTACTGTAGTAGTGTAGTACTGTAGTAGTGTAGTACTGTAGTACTGTAGTACTGTAGTACTGTGTGTAGTACTGTAGTACTGTGTGTAGTACTGTAGTACTTGTAGTACTGTGTGTAGTACTGTAGTACTGTGTGTGTAGTGTACTTGTGTACTGTAGTACTTTGTAGTACTGTGTGTAGTACTGTAGTACTGTGTGTAGTACTGTGTAGTACTGTGTACTGTGTAGTACTTGTAGTACTGTAGTACTTGTAGTACTGTGTGTGTAGTACTTGTAGTACTGTGTGTAGTACTGTAGTACTGTGTGTAGTACTTGTAGTACTGTGTGTAGTACTGTAGTACTGTGTGTAGTACTTGTAGTACTGTAGTACTGTCTGTAGTACTGTGTGTAGTACTTGTAGTACTGTGTGTAGTACTTGTAGTACTGTAGTACTGTAGTACTGTAGTACTGTAGTACTTGTAGTACTGTGTGTAGTACTTGTAGTACTGTGTGTAGTACTTGTAGTACTTGTAGTCAGTGGGTGGTTGACCTGTGACTCTCCACGCCCTGAGATTACTTCTCTTTAAAGAGTCTTTGTTCTGTCGTCATAAACTCACAGGACTCCAATGCAGTACAGCTCTACTTTAAAGTACTCTGACTGTAGTACTACTGCAGTACCATTGCTGAACTATTGCAGTAGTATTGCAGTAGTATTGCAGTACTCTGTGTACACCCAGAGAGACGGAGACACACAACATTCCAGCAGCGAAGAGCTGGAGACGAGCCAAGCATAAGTCAACGAAAAACATCCAGAACTTGGCAAGTCCAGTCCTGGTTTAGTCCTGGTTTAGTCCTGGTTTAGTCCCGGTTTAGTCCCAGTTTAGTCCCAGTTTAGTCCCAGTTTAGTCCCAGTTTAGTCCCAGTTTATGTTAAATGTTGTCGAATCAAAACATCTGTCGACAGAAAAACATGTGCAGCTTTAGTCCTGGTTTAGTTCTAGTTTAGTCCCAGTGTGGATTTAGACCTGACATAGTACTGGTTGTGATCCTAGTCCAGGTTTAGTCCTGGTTTAGTCCCTAGTTCAGCTGAAAGCAAAGCAAGTACAGATTTAGTCCTGGTTTAGATTTGGTCTGGACCAGATTTAGTCATGGTTCAGTCCTGCTTTGATCCTGGTTTAGTCCCTGGTTTAGTCCCTGGTTTAGTCTTGATTTAGTCTTGATTTAGTCCTGGCTTAGTCCTGGTTTAGTTCTGGTTTAGTCCTGGTTTAGTCCTGGTTTAGTTCTGGTTTAGTCCTGATTTAGTTGTAAAAGTTGGACTCACTTCCTCCACGGACACATCTCGCAGACCTGGTTCCTCTCGCGGATTAGAACCTCGAAACCAGCTGATGATCTGCCCCATGTCTGCAGAAAGATCCCCCCGAGATCCAAGAACCGAGAACTAAACCAGGACCCGAGGCCAGACCCAAAACTCGACCTAAATCCAGCGGCAGAGGCGAGAGCGAGCAGGGAGCAGGGTTCAGAGCGGAGGAGGGAGTGTG